CTACTACGGGACCCATTCCCTTGTGACAAATGGTTTATCGCTACTAAGGGAGACGGAGTGGCCTCGACTAAGCCATCCCGCCCCCTGCGACAGCCAGCTTTAAATTCATGGTTATGACAAGTATGCCCCGTCCTCAGGCCACAGGATTAATACACGTATTTTATATTATTTTACAAAAGGACTTGAAAGAACTTTCAGACCCCTTTTACGGCATTTAACTATAGCACAACGTTTTAGCTTCTCGTTAAAATCACTTTTGAATAAAGGCCATGATTTTATGTTTGCCTTTGTCCGCTGGCGCGACGGTGGATTACATAACCTTCAATTCATTCAGAGTATTTCAGGAGCTATAATATCTCTAAATTAGCATCCGTCTGCATATTTCCCGTTCGAAGACTGTTGAATGTGAAATTGCCTTCTTTGCTGTGCATGTGGAAATAATGAAACTGCCGGGTATTGTGCTTACAATGAAACGTGCGTTTATTAACTGGAGCTCTACAATCTCTAAAAGATCAGTATATTTTTTAATACAGCAGAACAATTTTGCATGCATTACAAGGCAAAAAAATGGAGGTGCCATGGTCCTCAAAGGCGCAGAACTTTTCTGGAGAGGGGCTTGTGTACCAGCCTTACAAGACGTTGCACAGTGGCACTCACATTCCCTTCCCAGTTAGCTAGGAGTGGTCGAAGCAGCTTTTTTAAAAAAAAAAAAAACATCACAGATCTGGTTCGTGTGCTGAAGGCTGCCCGAACCACACCGTAGTGCAGGGCAGGTAACCAAATGTGGAAGGAGGGCTGAGTGAAGAAGTTTACACAGATTTCCACTTCTTCGAACTTCAGTGTCTTTCATCACTTCACTGACAAAGTCACATGCGAGTTTCCAAATTTTCACGATCTCCATGTTGGGATACCGAAGTTGTCCGTTATCGATTTTCTTCACTAAATCGTAGATGCTGCCACACGGTTTCGTCTCTTGCAGGAGAACCTTGCATGATTCACAGGGCAACTGCAAGTAATAAAATCAAGCCAAGTGAAATTTTCATCAAAAGTACTATGAAACAAGTATGTAGGCTCCTTTTCTTACTTCGCTTAGCTAAATAAAAATATTATCTAAATTTTGTAAGAGTGGGAATGAAACAACCTGCGGCGAAAAGAGTGGCATAGACGCATATCTGGTGTCGACCCTTACAGTGGTGGCACACCGGCGGGGCGGGACCCGCATCCTGATTCGGGCCGGAACCCTGGCTCCGGACTGACCTGAGTTTTTCTTCACTCGAGGTCAGCCTGGAACCCTGCCCTTGGTTTTGAGTGGTGAAAGGGAGGGCAAAAGGAGAAAAATATGAGAAAGAGGGAGAACTGCTGGTTTGCATATTATAGTTAACATTCGAAGAAGGTGAAAGTGAAGTGAACATTGTTTAAGACTGGCTGGCGCGCTAGCGACGCGTTCGAAAGAATGCAGCAAATAATGCAAAGCTTAAAATAACCGTCCTTACCTTCTCCTCACATGCACGCGCGATGTATCCGGCCAGGTATACTAGGGGTGCTAGTTCGAGGTCATCCGGCACAGCAAGCCAAACATTTAATACTCCTAGCTCATAGGAAAGCCGCTCTGCACCGAGGACGACCGCAAGTGGCACGGCCGCGGTGTTGCCTTCTCGGGCTTTGAGTTTTAGAGGTGCATTTGTTTCGGAGCTATGGGGAGCGTTTCCACTCTTAGCAGCTTGGAGGATTCCAACCTGGGGAAAAAAGTGCGTAGGTTACATGGGTGTGCTCTCCAACGGGCACCAAATATACCTTTAACAGCTTTTCGGCTGTGAAGACCGCGGTTCTTGCATCAACTCTATCGTTGCTTCCGTTAAACTGTCGAAAGCAGCTGAAGAGGGACTCCACGGGGTCGCTGTTCGAGGCACGGGTCAAGACGTAGCGAAAGCTGGAAAAAAGTTTGTTTGATACTTAAGTCAATACACATATACGTAACTGCGATGAAAAATATGAAGGTGAAAAAAGAAAAACCTACTTGTTGTCTAATAGATGTTGAATCAATGCCACAGTTGACCTCGTCGTCATTATCGTTGCCTCGCATGTTTCTTTCGTCATCTTCTTTTTTGTTTTGCCACCAGAAAGCTGAATCTCCTCGATGTACGTGATGAAGTCTACTTCAAGCCACGAAAGACGGTCGTCGTCGATCAAGTAGAATGGTTCTTCCCATTGACCGCGCGGCTTCACAGCGCCACTATTGTGAAGGTCATACCACTTCGACACCATTTTCATGAAGGTGATGGTGGGCAAACAGTCCTGAAATTCTGTCGCATCAGGGTGGCATTGCGGGTTTTCTTGTAGGAACTCAAGCGTTGCTATTACGACAGGGGAGAAAACTTGCGTAGCCCTTGACGCTTTCATCTTTTCTAAGTTGTTCGGTTCAACGTGTGACTGTGTTAGGAACCTCACTGGCTTTACGAGTAGCTGTGACTGAATGCTGAGTAGCTTCTTCAAGTACAGTCCACCTTGAATTAGATTATCTCCGTCCATCATCTCTCTTTCCACAAGATTATTTCTGAGGTTCTTGATGAGGTGATTCGGATCAAAAGACAAAAAAGAGGATCACCTTGTCGCAATGGATGTGGCACTACATGCGCAAGCATTCCGTCCTCGGAAAGGCTCTTGAAGAGCGCAACATTTGACTGGTGATTGTCGGTAACAATCCTCGTTACACGGAAACCCACATCTTCGACTGCCTTCATGACATTCATTGTCATAGAACGAAGTTGCTCACTCCTGAGGCACCGGGTAAAGAAGTACCCAACTGTTATTACATAGGCAGTTGATAGCCCTCGCAGGACGAAGCACAACAACCTGTTCGCCACTTCAGGCGTTGCACATGATTGCTGCTCAGGACCCATGTCAACGAGACCGAAAACCTTATCAAGTTGGCGATCGTACATAACTTTCTGCTGTATCGCCATTTCATCGATGATTAGGGAGCAGAAGATTTCTTGTTCGACTTGTAGTGCTTGAAACTCTGCGCGGAGGCGTTCTGTTATGAGTGATGTGACGCCTATTTCGCCTGTTGAGTGCCCGATGTACTTCTGTAGTGTGGCACGACAAGGCACCTTGAACAGGCCTCTTGTTCTCACATACTCGTAACCTTTGTTGGAGCACGCTTTCCAGAGGACGCACTCCCCCAGAATTGATTCAGTGTACGCTGGCTTCTTGGAAGCGAAATTCGACACTTGATTCTTGATAAATTCGGCGGTTTTATGGCCTTCGTCTGCGGCTCTTAGTGCACTCACAAAACAGGCGATTTCTTTGTTGCTTTCGAAAGCTTGAAGCCGTTCACGAACCGTATCGTGCTGGCTTTGCAAGCGTCTGCAGTGACTTATTGAGGCAGGAAATTTTCCACTGCAGGCGGTTCGTCGTTTTCTTCGCATCCTCTATCATCCGCTTAAGGTCAAGGTCTGTTTGAGACATTTTATCTGTACATGAACTGGTTTGGCACACACTATCAGCAGGCAATGAACAGTCCCACGTTCCGTCCGAAGACCGCCCCGCCGCGGTGGTCTAGTGGCTAAGGTACTCGGCTGCTGACCCGCAGGGCGCGGGTTCGAATCCCGGCTGCGGCGGCTGCATTTCCGATGGAGGCGGAAATGTTGTAGGCCCGTGTACTCAGATTTGGGTGCACGTTAAAGAACCCCAGGTGGTCTAAATTTCCGGAGCCCTCCACTACGGCGTCTCTCATAATCATATAGTGGTTTTGGGACGTTAAAACCCACATATCAATCAATCAATCCGTCCGAAGACCCGCTTGGTGCAACATGTTCTTGATCTCCGAAGAGATCAGGCTCGACATCTTCATTCCTGCTTTCATCTGGGCCATTTCGTGCACTCTTTTTCGCGCAAGCTGATGAACCACCATCTGGTACTTCTCTTCGAGGCCACTTTCTTATCCTTGGAGCCCTTGGCTTTTGCATATAGGACGGGTAATTGGGGAACACCGTCGGGATAGCAGTTGGCAGGAGCATTCGCAGTTTGGTGCCTTTCTTATAGTCATTTTCGGTGAAGTGAAGGGAACAAACCGAAGAGTGGTCACTGGGTACCCACCTCGTTTCTTTTCCGCCAGATCCCTGCCGGGAGATGTTGGTGAGCCATGCTTGTCGTCGTTCAGCGCTCGCTGGAAATTCATGGTAGCTCAAACCGGGATTTTTCTTTGCGTTCGACGCGCACAGTGGAACACAGCAGTTTTTGGCATACTAACTGGCCACTCTAACTACCTAGCTGGACTGTGAAGCAGATCGCATCAAGCTGAACACGACTATATTTGTTTGGAGCATGTAACCTCATTCCGCGGCGAGAAATTGGCGCGAAAATGCCGCGTTCGCCGTAGCGCGCCCGCGCGTCTCTTTGGTGTGTCTCCTACTACTAGCACCCCCCGCGAAACTTGCGGCCGCAACTGTCAACAACGCTCGTCCTCCCTCGCCAATGCGCGGCGGCTCCACGCAGCAGGCCGCACCCTGTGCGCTTTGATCCAGCGGCCGTGACAAGAGTCTTGTCAGCTACTAATGCTTCATGAGCATTCAATAACTATGTTTTCATGCCCTTTCTTCTGAAGGTGTTGAAAAGAGCTACGCAGCCTAAAAATATGGACAGTGGCCTAAATGGAGGAAACGAGTTTCTTGTGCTATATTTTTTTGCTCAAGTTCTTTTTCTTGTGCATTGATAGACCCAGTTTTTCTGCCGCCGCTTACAGTGCCTCACTCTACCGCCGCTTAGAAGAGGGCGCGCTCAAGGCACTAGATAAATTTGTTTAGCCTCGGTAGTTTCTAAACAAAACTAACACTTAAAAACGCATTTTAATTAAACACTTAAGTTTTAAATTCGCATGACAACATATTGAAGACGTAATAAGCGAGGTCACTGCTCGTGTTATGTGATGAAACAAACAGCGGCATCGTCATCTAGCAAGGCGCAAAAAAAAAAAAAAAGAAAAGGCGCGCTTTGAGCGATTGTAGTTGCTGTGCAGGCTTGCTCCGGATTTTGCGTCGAAACACTTGAAAACTTCCTAGTGCTGCTGAATGTTAGAGCATCTCCCGCGAACGCGTACTTCTTTCCTTCGTTTCAATCCTCAATTCGTGTTTATATCACGGTTCGCAGACGTGGCGATCTGTTCGTGTGACCGTTGGACTGTGTGGCCTTGAGCACCGCCACCGTGTTTTCTAGGAGCGCCGGGGTGATCACGCATGATATCGTCGCGCGCATCTGTACTGACAAAGCCGTCAAACACTCAAGTCGGAGTAGCACATTCGACGAGGGTGAGCCTAAGTATACTACGCTGAGGTTTACACGGCTAAACTGTGATCGCGTGATCCGTTTGCTGGGCGAATGTGACGCCTTACCTATGCAGGCTGCGCGCTTGTATTTTACCGTACAGTCCGCATGTTTGGACCACACTAGCACGTAGCGCGTTACATGTAATGGGTTACTTTGGATCGAGTACATTATACTCCAGTTTTTTTCACTCTGTATTTATACTTCCTTCATGGCGCGACGATCCTTGTTATGCGTTTACTTTCCCTTCCAATCGATTACGAAATTGTGTTTTGGGGAAATGTGACCGTGACCGGAATTGTTTTTGACCGATAGCAGTCATTAGTGTCTGCTTTGGCAATACTTGTATGTGACTATAGTTACCTCTGTAACGTGCTTCAGTAGGATTTCGACTTGGGCTTGTTTGTTATTCGTCTATATGGAAACTGTGGCGCACAAAAAACGCAGACACGAGAAAGAACAAGGAGAAGCAGGCGCAAACTAACAACTGTTTATTAGCGAGTAATGAGACCCTTATGTATGCCTACGTGCGTCGCATTCTGTTGACATGTGACCGCGTGCATATCGGCCAGACAGGTCGCTGTATTAACGACCGGTTCCGCTAGCGCGTGTTTAACGTAAGAAACAAAACATGGGGGTGGCAGGCCCTCCACTGCGAGAAAAAAAAAAAAAGCGGTTGCGAACCTGAATATGAAAAGTTGCACTGTGATTGCAAAGAACGGAAGTGAAACAACACGCCCAATCATTGAAGCTCACGAAATATGGTGCCCCACATCAAATCTATCAGCATGTCATCTATTTGTTTATCAGCTGTAGTTTTACATCTCACTGGTACCACATGTGTGTGTTAGTTTTGTCGTTTCTTGGCTTGGTAATATGTAACAATTGTTAGAAGTTAGTTGGTGTAAATAAGGTTACATATCTCGCCAATAATCTCTTGTTAGCTAGTACTTCATCCGTGTGCCTTCTTGTGTTCCTGTTTTCAGTGCACGGCAGCCCCCATCATAATCAACCTGTAATGTCGTACTCAGCTTCAACGGTTTGATCTCATTTCTGCGACAAGTACTGGTATTTTAAACATATTGTCACGGATGAACCCACACTACCCCCGAGCCACCTGACACTGCTTCATCATGCGTCTTTGTGCGTGTACGCGATTACTTTAACTTTTAATTGGCATTGGTCATCGGGGTGGTACTTTTTTTTCGAAGTGGGGGTCGTTCTGTAATCACGTGACAATATAGATTACTTCCTGGCACATTTGGTAACTAGTTATTTCTTTTATTTCGTTTCTTACAATTTACATTGGTTGTTTTGTTTCACATGGTAGCGCACACCTCTGATATAACCTCTTAAGAAAATTTGAGACACATATGTGTAGGTACCCATTTCTTGTGCCTTGACGCACCGGCGGCATCGCAATTTAAACCACACTGTATGTGCAGGGCTCAACTCATCGTCGCCTGCGGAACAGCACGAGCGACATCTGCAGTCGAAAATACTCCACATTTGAGCATGCGCGGCGTCAATAATGTGCCTACCCTGGTGTTTTCACTCTTCTTTATTCACACGGTCGTGATGACTGCTTTGGCCGTCGAAGCGCTGTCAACATTATGCAAATGAAATAAAACAGAACAACGAAGTATTCTCGCTTCGTGATATCGTATTACAGCGGCAACGGTATTACTTCGTCTTTTTTTTCTTGCTTTTTGTTTTTCCGCTAAATCGTTCAGAGCGCTTTCAACGGCCAAAGCGGTTGTTGCATCCGTGGTGATAAACAGGGATTAGTATTGCAAGGCAGGCACATCACTGGCGCCGCGCATGCTCAGATGTGGCGGATTTGCAATAACAGATGTCCGTGCTGTGTCGCACACGACGCTTCGGCGTTATAAGACATGTGAGTTGAGCACTGTACATGTATATGGTACCATACTAAAAAAGTGGTATAAAAAGCAACATAAGGTATTAGACTACTCTAGAGTAATTTTTTATTACTTTTCTGAGGCTGTAAGCCTATCCCTGATCAGTTAGCTTTTTTGAGTAAAGTTAACATAAGCGTTTTTTTTTTTTTTTTTCAGTAATGTGCACAAGTCTGGCTGCATTGGTGTTTTGGGAGCTCGACTGAAGTTTCCCGCTGCTGTCGAATGGCACCCCTAACGTAACGGCGTCAAAGCGCAATCATGCCAGGTAATCGCAGCGCCTGTGCAACGCTGTGTCGGCGCATCGACCAGGACAAATGCCTGGCGCAGAAGCACGGCAAGTTCCGCAACCTGTACGACCTGTGCCTGTACAAGGGTGACACGCTACGTGAACACGGGGACTACAAAGCCGCACTGACCGAGTTTGAGGAGGTATGTGTGATCGGTGGCGTTTTTTTTTTTTTTCTGAAATGGCAGAACACTGCAACACCATTGAACATTCGTGTTAATTTGTCGCAAAACGAGCAGCAATCGCTGTCACCTATACGTATAACTGGCACCGATAGCATTGATGTTGCAGTTCATTAAAAATAATCATTTATAAATTACATCTGTGTCCATGATTTTAACTCCGAGAAGGCTCGACCCACCACTCCAATATGCTGGCTTACTTTGCCTTGTAATCAGCAGTGCATGAACAGTTACACATGCCTCTCCACTCATCCATTCATCCATCTATCTATGCACGCATGCATGCATACATATATGTGTATGTATGACAGATACAAGCAACTGATGTGGGCTGCCCCCCTCCCACTCCTTGAAGAGTGAAAATTTTTCAGCACACTTTGGCTGATGTGTTCTGCATTATAACTGTTTTCTCTATGGCATGTATTGCCTTTTTAGGGGCAAAGATCCTTATGGCTTCACCTGTTCGCCTTCCTATATCGTATGTAATTTCCGGTGGCACATACCCCGAGAGAGTGGGTATGTGCCACAGAGGATAGACTTTTAGCAGTGAAGCTCCTTAAAGGGATGGTGACACCAAATTTGTGGAATGCGTGTTCTTTGCTGTAAGCGTTTCCTTCAGCTCCAGGAAGCATGATACAGAGACCATAAAAAATTTGCTACCATTTACTGCTACCACAGGTAGCAGTAATTGATCGTAAATTTTCAGCAAGATGCGTGTATTTTTCCTAAATAGTTTAATATTGCTCTACTTATGTGGACCATTTTTGGTTTCGCGATGCTGAGTCGCGCAGTGACATCAATGCATAGGTGGCTTGGCCACGTGACTACACAAAGCTGTGACACACATCGTGCTGAGTTTCGTCTGCTCTCACATGCACCTGCCACACAAGCGCCAGCAAAACAAACGTGCTGACTTGCGCCATGGCCAGCTGCAGTAGCCTCCAGGCAGTGGCAAGGCAAAAGGCAGTCAGAAGAAAACGAAGCGTTTATATTTACAATGTATGTACAGAACGTGGACGAGGAAGCCGCCTGACGCTAGATGCACTGGCCTTTTATGAGCGCCGATACGCTGAAGGAGCTTGGTGCAGCCCCGCTGTTGGACACGCGCGGCGTCTCTGACGGACAAGGACGCGTCGAGTGTCTCTTCAAAAGCACCCAGTGTCCATAACGGACGTGCAGTTTTTCTGCCAGGGTCGCCAGCACACTCGTTACTACAGATCTGGTGTGACGTCACTACAACTGTCGTTGTTTCTCCGATTCTGAAACGTCAGTGTTGCTGCGCAAGCAATGGGTCTAGATCGTAAGAGTGGGCATTCAGCTACACTTTTAAAAGTGAATTATATATTTTATGTGTTTGTTTTGTCCAGCCCTTCGGTTGGAGAGTCCTTGCATACAGAGGGAACCCACAACAGGCTTGGAATGGCCTCGAAATTTGGTGACACCACCCCTTTAAGCCGTGGGCTGTGCGTTCTCGATGTATGTAGTAGGTAGCCACCTCTCGTTTAGTTCTTGGAATGTCTGCTAGATGGCAGTACTTGTATATAATCAATATATGCTGAAAAGATGCGAGATGGTGGTACTTGGAGTGTTTGCTAGAAGGACGGACATACAGACAGATGGACTGACGCACGGACAAACAGATAGACCCACGGTTAAACGGACGGACGAATGCACGAATGGACAGACGCTTCGCCCCACTCATCCGTGGATATGCTGTATTTTTTTTAACTTGTATGTACCTGAATTTTGACTTTTTTTTTTGCTCTGAATATTCTTGTGTGTTCTTCATTGTGCACCTGTAGTTGCAAGTTTTTGTTTTCCTCTCTCTTGTACCTTCCAGTTTCGCTCCTCCCCTATGCAATGTACTGTCAGCGTTAAATGAAATGCAAGCGCAGGCAAGAATTAAAAATGATATAGTGTGCGCCAGTCATCCCATTGACAGGCACGCAGCGCTCTGGTTTGGCAGTGCTGTGCATGCTCATGGTGATTACTGGGCAGTGCGCTCTACATCATTAGAACTTGCCCCTGTTTTCATTTCATTTGATTCTGGTAGTACAGCTCATCTTTGGCGGTGTAATAATTAAGTAAACAAGTGCATAAGTGAGTGACAGAGCTGCGCATTCACTGAAATAGTGAATATAGAGTGAATCCTATCACCTCTTCCTTGTTACAGTAAGTGGCTCGTAAACGTCACACTATTATCATGTTATAGCCACCCATGAATCTTGCTGCTTGATGCGAGACAAATCTTAACCCTAATATGATCCCACTTACATGCCAACAGCACTGTAGTCTCATTGCTCAAGCTTGCAGCTCTTGCACAATTTTATTACTAGCTCAGTTGGAGCATGTAGTCATAAAAAGAAGAACCACCCACAGTGCAAATTATATTGACTATTTGTACATGTGCATACAGAGATTGTATGCAGATAGGGGTAGAAAAGAGAAAATGAGGACCATCTCTATTTTGGTGGGAGTCAGTCTTGACACATACCGTAATTACTCGAATCTAACGCGCACCTTTTTTCCGGTTAAGCGAGTTCATAAATCGCATGCGCGTTAGAATCGGGTACGTAAAAAAAATGAATACGGTCATTCTATTGCCATCGGCATTTCCAAAATGGCCGCCGCTACGCGCGTCGGCATGGCGCGTCGGCCATTTCTGCCTGTGTGTTTCCAATGTGCGGCACTTCGTACGTGTGCTGAGGAGTTCATCATATTTTAGTGCATTAGCATCGACGGCATGGAAGGGCCGGCTCCAAAAACTCGACGAGTGCACCACGATGCCGCTTTTAAAAGAAATGTCATCGCGTGTGTTGAAACGGACGTAAATCGGGCCGCATCGCGGTCGTTCAGAGTTCCCGAAACGTGCGTGCGGGACTGGCGGAAAGAAAAGCAGAATATTGTAGGCACCAAACATTCACGCAAATTGTCAAAATGGTTGATTGGGCGAGTTGGTGATACATGACTAATTATGAAATGGAAGCGCACAACGTTGAAGCACTTCCGTCTGCTTCAACGTTGTGCGCTTCCATTTCATAATTATTCACGCAAAGGCTTCAGTGGACCACAGCAGGGTCGGTTTCCACAAATTGAAGTGCTGCTCGGCGAGTATATGATTGAGCAGTGAGCGGCCCGTGACGATAGAACTGCTCCAAGTGCAGGCTATGCAGTTGGCCTTAGAAAAAGGGTAATGCGAAGCCAGTTTAAAGCGAGCAGGTGCTGGCTAACTTTATGAAGAGGAGAGGCTTTTCCCTCCGATGGCGAACGGGCATATGCCAAAAGTTGCCGGAGGAGTACGAAGAAAAGCGTCACAGTTTTAAGAGGTTCGTCCTAAACTTGCGGCACAAAAACGGCTACCTGCTTGGGCAAATCGGGAATGCCGATCAGACGCCTCTTTACTTCGACATGCCTGGCACCACAACCGTCGAGAAGAAGGGGGCGAAGCAAGTTCCCGTGCTGACATTGGGCCACGGTAAAACTAGAGTGACGGCAATGCTCCATTGCACGTCAGATAGGCCCAAGCTTCCCCCGTACCTCATATTTAAACGGAAGACACTTGCGAAAGGAGTCGTTTTCCCGAGTGGTGTGATCATGCGGACCAACGAGAAAAATGGGTGCGAGTTGCAATCGATGTCTTACTTTTTTGTTTTCGTCGTGGAAACCGGGTGCGCGTTACAATCGAGGGCGCGGTAGAATCTAGTAAATACGGTATTTGAAATGTGTCGTCAAGATTGTCACATTGTTGTATGTCTGAAGTTACAAATGTGCAGACTTGAAGAGCCTCTGTTGCAAAACGTGGCTGAGGATCCTATGCACTGTTTTGGAATCCAGTACAGCAAAACTCCTTCGCATCTATGGCTTAAACCATCACTCATATGCACAATACTCAACATATCGGCCTGGGCATAAACCACTTCTTTCTCGAAAGGACGCAACATCACTAGCGCCACGTTCCCCTCAAACCAGAGAGCAGCAGCTGTGCACTTTTAATTTGTGTCTGTATGTATGTCTTAAAAGTGATCGGATGTCATGGTCAAGCCAGCTTCTATAAAATTTATTTATCAAGCACTATTGGTTCTCACTTGCAGCTAGTGCAAAAGATCTCATTCGGCCTCAGTTGCTATTTCTCGTGCTGCTGTGACGGTGGTATAAGAAGTTTCTAGCGGTAGAAAGTGCACATGGTATGGGTCTACACAGTGGTGCAGGGACCCCGGGGGGGGGGGGGGGGGGGGGAACAAACACACTTCCTAATAAAGTTTTTCTGTATTCGCACCGCCTCAACTAGTATAAATTCTGGGGACTGGTTGACAAAACTGAGAAAAAGTGCAATGGTGTGAATGACGCGCACTTGAAGCCCTATCATGTTCTATTATCTTGCGATGCCGACGATGAGTGTGGTGATAATCGGGAGGTTCGCAATACATGGGGTGACGTGGGTGAGCGCAGTGCAAGGAGTGATGTCCGCGAACTACATCAGTGTTCATGTGCGTGAGTACAGTGAAAACAGTGGTGAACGAGGATTGCTTACTAGTGTTGTGTGCGAGAACGATGCAGTTAGTGGTGTGCAAGTGCAGTTTGCAAGTAGGCCTAGAACTTGGCTTGCGAGACCGTGTGCGCGCGACAGAAACCACTGATTTAGTACAGCAGTGGGAAGGCTCTGACAATGAATTTGAATTTCACACACACTGGAAGACATTTCCAAACGGCAATGATGCACAACGAAAGGTCGCCGCTTACAACACGGACACTGGATCGTATTGCAGTGCCAACGGGTCAACTGTAGTGATTGTTGTGTTTCGCGTGTCGCGAGGGCAATGTCATGCAGAAGGCTTTTTTTTTTTTCTTTTTTGACCACTACGAGATTTTTTTTTTTCCAGCTGCTGTTAAAGACATTCTTTTTAATTTCTCTTAGAGAGGTACCCTTCAGGTAGAATGCGAGTCAAAAAGGGAAGCTGCATTTGGTTGGTCCCAGATTGGTCCGTAAAGGCTGATTGCCAAATGGTTTTCCCTGCAGTCCACTCACTCATCGTCATCATCATCAGCATGACTATGTCTACTGCAGGACAAAGGCCTCTCCCATGTTCCGTCAGTCAACTCGGTCCTATGCTTGCTGCTGCCAATTTATACCCGCAAACTTCTTAATCTCATCTGCCCACCTAACCTTCTGTCTGACCCTAACCCGCTTGCCTTCTCTGGGAATCCAGTTAGTTACCCTTAATGACCAGCGGTTATCCTGTCTACGCGCTACATGCCCGGCCCATGTCCATTTCCTCTTCTTGATTTCAACTATGATATCTTTAACCCCCATTTGTTACCTAATCCACTCTGCTCTCTTCTTGTCTGTTAAGGTAACACTTACCATTTTTCTTTCCAATGCTCGCTGCGTCGTACTCAATTTAAGCTGAACCCTCTTTGTAAGTCCCCAGGTTACTGCTCCGTAGCTAAGTACCGGCAAGATGCAGCTGTTATATACCTTCCCCTTGAGGGATAGTGGCAATCTACCTGTCATGATTTGAGAGTGCTTGCCAAATGTGCTCCACCCCATTCTTATTCTTCTAGTTACTTCAATCTCGTGGTTCGGCTCTGCAGTTATTACCTGCCTTAAGTAGACATAGTCTTTCACAACTTGAAGTGCGTTATTACCTATCTCGAAGCGCTGCTCTCTTCTGAGGTTGTTGTACACAACTTTTGTTTTCTGCAGAATAATTTTAAGACCCACCTTTCTGCTCTCCTTGTCTAACTCCGTAATCATGAGTTGCTATTCGTCCCCTGAGTTACTCAGCAATGCACTGTCATCGGCGAAGCGCAGTTTACTATGGTACTCTCCATTACCAGCTCTCCATTATTAGCTCTTATCCCAAACTGTTCCCATTCTAGGCTTCAGAAAATCTCCTGCAAGCACGCGGTAAATAGCATTGGGGAGATTGTATCCCCTTGCCTTACACCCTTTTTAATTGGTATTCCGTTGCTTTCTTTATGAAGCAATATGGTTGCAGTTGATACCCTGTATATTTCTTTCAGGATGTTATATACCTGTAGGCCTTCTTCAGGCCTGTATGGGTCTGAAAAAGGCCTACAGCATTGTTAAATAAATAAATAAAATACACTTCGCCCTGATTTCGCAGCGCCTGCATGACTGCTGATATTTCTACGGAATCAAACGCCTTCTTGTAATCTATGAAGGCTATGTATAGGGGTTGGCTATATTCTGAGCATTTCTCTATTACCTGATTGATAGTATGTGTGTGGTCGATTGTTGAGTAGCCTGTTCGAAATCCTGTTTGTTCATTTGGTTGATTGAATTCTAATGTTTTCTTAACTCTGTTAGCAATTACCTTTGTAAATAGCTTCTATACTACAGAGAACAAGCTGATCGGCCTGTAATTCTTCAAGTCCTTGTGATCTCCTTTTTTATGCATTAAGGTGATGTTAGCATTCTTCCAAGACTCTGGTACTCTTCCCGTCAAGAGGCACCTCGTAAACAGGATGGCTAGTTTTTCTAACAGTATCTGTCTTCAATCTTTCAGCAGATCTGATGTTACCTGGTCCTCACCAGCAGCTTTACCACTTTGCATGCTCTCTAAGGCTTTTCTGACTCGTATCATTACTGGTGGGGTGTCATCCGGGTTACTGCTAGTTCTTATAGTATTAAAGTCGGGGTTGTCCTGACTACTGTACAGGTCTCTGTAAAACTCCTCCGCTATTTAGCTATCCTATTCATATTGGTAGTTATTTTGCCTTTGTTCCTTAGTGCATACATCCGATTTCTGCCTATCGCAAGCTTCCTCTTCACTGCTTTGACGCTTCCGTTGTTTTTCAGAGCGTGTTCAATTCTCTCCATACCTTCTTACATCGGATACCTTAAGCTTATTAATCAACTTCGAAAGCTCTGCCAGTTCTATTTTGTGTGTTGTACTTGAAACTTTCATGCTTTGATGCTCTTTAATGAGGTTGTTCGTCACCTGAGACAGCTTGCCAGTGTCCTGTCTAAGTACTGTACGTCCAACTTCCACTGCACACACCGTAATGATACTCGTGAGATTATCATTCATTGCGTCAATGCTAAGGATAATTTCCTCGATAAGAGCCAAGTACCTGTTCTGTAGTGGGACTCTGAATTCCTCTACTTTCCCTCTCAGTGCTAGCTCATTGATTGGCTTCTTGCGTATCAGTGTCTGTCGTTCCTTCTTCAAGTCTAGGCGAATTCGAGACCGTTACCATTCTATGGTCACTGCATCATACCTTGCCAGGTACTTCCACATCCTGCACGATGCCTGGGTGTGCACTCATTATAAAGTCTATTTCGTTCTTATTTTCGCCATTAGGGCTCCTCCATGTCCACTTACGGTTTCCTCGTTTTTGGTAGAAGGTATTCAAAATCCGTAAATTATTGCATTCTGCAAATTCTACTAGTAGCTCTTCCCTGGCATTTCTAGTGCCGATGCCATAATTTCCCACTGCCTGGTCTCCAGCCTGTTTCTTCCCCACCTTCTCCCATCAGTATAGTATATTGTGTTTTTACATTACTCATTGCCGATTCCACGTCTTCATAGAAGCTTTCGACTGAAGCGTCATTATGGCTGGATGTAGGCGCGTAAGCCTGTGTACCACCTTCATATTGTATCTCTTATTCAATTTAATTACGATACCTACTCCCCTTTCGTTAATGCTATAGTATTCCTCTATGTTTCCAGCTATGTTTCTGTGAATAAGGAACCCCACTCCCAGTTCTCTTCTGTCAGCCAAGCCCTGATACCAAAGGACGTGCCCATTCTGTAGCACCGTATAGGCCTCATCTGTCCTCCTAACCTCACTGAGCCTTATTATATCCCATTTAACACTTTCTAGCTCCTCAAATAGTACAGCTAGACTTGCCTCACTAGATCAGGTTCTAGCTTTAAACATTGCCAAGTTCAGGTTCCAATGGCAGCCTGTCCAGATCCAGAGATTCTTAGCACCCTCTGTTGCGTTGCAGATCTGACCACCGCCGTGGTCAGTTGCTTCGCAGCTGCTGGGGACTGAGGGCCGTGAGTTAATTGACGTATGCATGTGGGAAGTAGTGGCCAGATACTTCACCGGGGTGGCAAATCCTTCTCTGGTGAGGGAGTGCGTTACCGGCGGTGGTCACCGGTGAAGCCGCACCCCAGGCCTCTTCTATCGCCACACGGATTTTTTTTAATCCTGTTGGAAACTGCGCGGCACTGGGAATCGAACTACGGACCTCTTGCATGCGAAGCGGATGCTCTAACCACCATGCCATCGCCACTCACCCATGAATGCTGAAAGAGCCTATTTAAGTAGCGACTCGGGCACTTTTTCGGAGTGAGTGGGCTCAGGACCCGCACCGTTTTTCACGACCCTCAGACCAGTCATGCTGTCATTTTGTCTGAGTATGCCGTCATGTCAAGAGTATGCCGTCATGGATTTTATTCGTTGTTCAGTGCATTGTGTAAATACAAGTAGTGCTAGATAAATAACCCCCAATTAGTGGTCTCCGAAATCATTGTACTATTGACTTCTCATCACTTACCTGTGCAGAGTTGCTCCCACTTGCCCTCATATCCTGAGTCTTCAGATGCTTCTTGTTATAAGCAATGACGAAGTTTTGATACAAGTGCTGAAGGCAGCATTTCTGTTAATTTTGAAACTTTTCTTTAACTCTAGTTATTTTAGTTATCTGGAAAGTGTCAGTTATTGTTATAGCTTTGCAGTGACATCTTTACTGATATGAAATATGCTACTTAAGTTCGTAATGTTTTTAAATTTAATTATAATTATTACAGTGACAAGCAATAGTTTAGTGACCCTACCATCAGCTTAATAAAATAATAATAACAAGGCTTGCTCTGGCACACATTTGATATGTGGAATCTTTTCAACTCTGCTCACTGATACGCACTCAGGCTGTTCCATTGGATTTCAGCTGAAATGCTGTGAGAAAAGTATGTCACAGCAACATTTTTTCTAGAGCTATGTGAATAGCAAAATTTTGAGTGGGAAGTGAATTATAATATTGAAGTGTGAGTATGAATCGAATCAAATATTTTTCAAATATTTCTCACATGTTTTTTTAATACTTTGAAATGAAATTGCAAGAAAAAAAAGTCGGAAAGGATTCCTAAGCATATTCTTATGAAGTAGTAACATGAAAGTGTTTTTTTCTGACTAGGTTGATCAAGGACTGGCGGGTGGTGTTTCAAAGTCGTCTTATGATAAATGAGATGATGCAACAGTCGAATTATTTATGTACCTGAATGGGGAGGTGCGACTAAACTATTGCCGACAACACATCACTCATGAAATGCACACGGCTTCTATTTCTTCTGCCTGTCCTCTTTCAACGTCTGTGGAAGCCTGACTGATATGGTGGACAAGGGTGTGCTCCCTAGAGTCTGGAGTTTCAAATCTACATAAAAACATCTACACAAAAACATAAAAAAAACTTCCTAAATTTTGGATGTTAAAAATTCCTGGCATCTGGTTTTCGGACTTTTTACCCGAGTTCTAGGTCCACAATAGCATTAATTTAACCATCTCTGCCACATCTATCATCTTCATGTTGGAACCAGCGTTTTCTTGAGTCAGCAGTTCATTTACAACTGCAGCTGAGCCTGAAAGGTAACTTTGCCGCAATATGAGTGTGTGATGGGATGAAGTGTATTGAAACTTTGAAGGGGCCATTGGCGAGTTTGAATAGGAAAAACTCTAGTGCGAATCAAAGAGCAAACGCTATTAAATTGTATCTGAAATTTCGAGTATTCATACACCTTTAATTTTTTCCAAACTTTTGTTTGCAACATGCCATCATTACTCAGTGCACACAGAAAGCAGAGGCTAGGCATGATGCCTGTGTCACTAACATTGCTGGTGAACACTGCTGGTTTGTGCAGGCTTTTCAAATCTGCGAGGTGCTGCCAGACCCAACACTACTCGACAAAGCTGAAGTGCACCGGCGGCGTGGCGAGTGTCTCATGCAGCTCGAGCGTTTCGACGAAGCCCGTCACAATCTGAAGAGCTACCTCAAGTTGGCCCAAGAGGCAGAATCACACGTGGAACAGCAGCGTGCTCTTGCAACACTCGGGCAGTGTTACTTCGTCGAGCACCAAACAGAGGCCAAACCTAGCAAGCAACTCATCGAGAAGGCCAAAACGGCGTACCTCAAGTCATTACGAATCGTTCAACGCAACCTTGTGGATAGCTTGAGTGAACAAGAGATGCTCGTCATGAAAGGTCGGCTGATGCTCAACATGGGCCTCCTGTACGATGCAGTAGAAGACCCCAATGCTGTCAACAGTTTCAGGAATGCGCTAGTGCTATTTATAAAGCACGGCGACTCCAAACAGGATCTCTGTAGATGTCTCTCGGCACTGGCCAACATTCATCTGAGGCAGGGGAACTCGGAAACTGCGTTGTCACTGGCGGGACGCCTGCTTGACATTGGTCAAGATGCTAAGCGGCCGGATATCAAGTGTGAAGCGCACCTACTTCGAGGAGCAGCAATGTTGCAGGTGGGCGACCGAGAAGGAGCTCGCACAGCCTTTAAGCATGCCATGCGCCAAAAAAGCCCTATACAGGAGGACCACGAACGTGCCAGTCTTTGCGTGAGGCTCAGCCAGGCACTCAGAAACTGGGACCTGGACCTCAAGGAGGCTAAAGATCCCGCTGCACGTGTCGAGATTCATGAAATGGCCGGCGATGCTTTGGTACAATGCTTGTTATCCCGGCCAGCGCTGAAGGAATACAGTATGGCCGTAGAAGAAGCGCTGTCATCTCCGGAAGCCATCAGTCAAAAAAAGCTTGCCAATCTTTATGTCTCCCTGGCAGAAACATGTAGCGATGTACGCGAATACGAGTCGGCGCTCAAGTACTACCACATGGAGCTTTCCCTGAGAACAGATGAGCCCGACGAGGTGGCATCGACCAAGCTCAGCATTGCTCGTATTCTTCAGAAAACATGCAATGAAGGAGCTCCAGAGGTTCTGGATGCTCTTCAAGAGGCTGTAACATTGTCTCGGGTCGCAGGAAAGCACTCTCTGGAGCTAGAGTCTCTAGAGGAATTGATCGCCTGGCAGGGCAGCGCCAGCAGTGAAGTTCAGGATAGAATACAACAGCTACAAGAAGCCGCTGCAGATGAAACCGACAGCTCCAGCCAAAGTCAGCAGTTGGGCCCATTGTCTGACATCAATTTTGAGGACATATCAGAAGCCAGCGACAGTGATCCCGAATTCAGTGATACCACACGTAGACCGAGGAAAAAGCTGGAAGAAAAGATTAACACAAAAGGTGAAACAAAACTCCACAAGGCTTGTATCGATGGCTCTTTGAAGAAGGTGAAAGAGCTTCTTAGGATGGGTCACTCCGTGAATGTTCGAGACTACAGCGGGTGGCAGCCCCTGCATGAGGCAGCAAACTACGGTTACCTAGAGATCGTAAAATGTCTTGTAGAAGCAGGGGCTCACGTAAGTAGCCCAGGAATGAATGGTGTCACACCGCTACATGATGCTCTGGGAAATGGACACCTTGAAGTTGCATTATATCTGCTCGAAAAAGGGGCTCGGCCATCTCTAAGGACAGCAGAAGGAGAAACGCCCTTCGACATTGTTCGTAAGTGGAAGCACGAAAACCAGTCAACGATGAGCCCCGCTGAAGAAGAGTGCCTGCGGAAAGTGGAGCTTCGGCTCAAAGAGGCCAGTCCTGCAACCGATGACATTGCACTGTTGGTGCCTGCCAGTGAAGGTGGTCCATGGATAGCTTCACAGTCCCTGAGAAGTAGACTGAGTGGTCCTGCTCTTGTTATGGAAGCAGACGACTGGCTTGAGGATGACCTTTCAAGGCCAAGGACGAAATCAAGACATGCGGAAGAACCAGAGTTGCCAGCATTAGTGACAGAAATGGACGACTGGCTTGAAGATGATGTCCCCAAGTCGAGGTCCAGAACGTGCCTGAAGGAATCAGGTTTGCCTGCCACAAGAAAGCGAAACCGTTCGTCTGAACAGTCATTTAACTCAAAAGTCTTGCGGCTCGAGGAGGAGGAGAAGGAGGGCAACACTCGTGAGGACGATGATGGCACAGAAATGATCGACACTGCTGACAATGAGCAGTTCAATTCCCAGCCTTCTACAACTTCTCCTGCCTGTGTGTCCTCTAGTTCTTCAAGCGCTGCCATGAGTGCACACTTGGGAGGTAACCTCTCTGTTCGAGTTCGAATCTTAGACACGCTTTTCTTAGTTCCATTGCCCAGAGGTGCCGCATCGGAAAGGACAGTTGGGTGGCTCGCAACTGAAGCAGCCAAACGGTACCAGGATTTTCAAGGCATGCGACCTGTACTGAGAATAACACTTCCTGACGGAGCGTTGCTTGATCCATCAGACTGTATCGACACCTTAGTGCACGGGCCGCATGCTGAAGTCATTGGGCAGGTGGAGTCCTGGGACTTGCCTGCCCTGGCCGAACGCTACCGTTCAGAGTGTGAGAGAAAAAACGTGCCTGTGTGTGCAAACCTGGCCACCGTTCTACAACCGTGTGTTGAGAGTGGAGACTTCTCAATTCCTGGCTTCCACGTCAAGAACGTGGATTTCTTGTTTCGGGCCCTGAGGCACCAAGAACCTCTTCATACCCTCGACATCTCTGGTACTGTTCTGACCCCCACAGCAGCAGCAGCATTGTGCGACTGCCTTGCTACGCTGCGGTCTCTCAGTAAACTTTCTCTCAAGTGCACGGGCTTTAAGCCAAGCTACCTCACCACTGCTGTTCAGACTTTACAGAAGGCACAGACAGATTTGCCGTGCACGGAGCTAGACCTAAGCTACAATCCCATCGGAAGTGACAGCGGCTCAGCGCTGGCAGCGCTTCTCACGCACATACCTTTGTTGAGAGTTCTGCGCATTGAATCTTGTGATCTCTCTGACCCTGGATCATGTTTGCGGAGCTTGAAGACATTGGAAGCTCTTCATGTCGGGTTCAACTTCTTGAATGCCGATGCCCTCAGTGCACTAGAGCCTGTGCTAGAAGCAAATCCCCTACGACTGCTGGACCTTTCTGGCTGCTTTACAGGTAACATACCCAGACTAGGTGAACGGCTGGTTGGTTTCCTATCAAAAGCGAAGTGCAAGCTTGCCGAAATCGGGATTGGCTGCTGTGGACTGACGGACAGTGACGTAGGCACACTGGGCTCATTGGGCAGCAGCTCCCTGTGTAAGTTGGACATCACAGCAAGTCCTGGTATCAAGCATGAGAGCGTCGAGGACCTGTCACAAAAGCTGTGCGGAGTGAAAATATGTTCTGATCATGGCGCTTACAACTGTTGTTTATGATAACGACAGTGCTTAAAAATGTGTGATTGTGCAACCTAGGGAATCATGTAATCAGCTAGTCATAGGATCCAAGATTTATGAAAGCCCTGTGTAGGACATTGACATGGTATTATGTTAGTTACCTTGTTTTGGACCTTGAAGAGTTAACATTTGCTCTTTTCAGTGTGACGAAACAAAAACACTTTCAAGCAGATACACTTTCTTGATGTCTGCTTTAGGTAAAGTGATATATAATTCACGAACTACTAGCATGTTTTGTGTGTGTATGTGTGTGTGTTTCTTTTGTTTTGAGTGTAGATAGTGTAATAATAGGCTTTTACATATGTATACACATATATCCAAATATAGAAAAGTGTGATCCTTTTGTACACGCTCATTTTGATGTTCCAAGCTCTCTTAAGAGTTTGCAGTGAGAAATAGTACTCGTTTATTTTCTATGTAGTTTAGGATTCATAAAAACAGTCTTTTAATAAAGAACACACTTTTGCGGTGGTTGCAAATTAAGTCAGGTCTATTATGCCGTGGAGGAGCTGTGTATAACTGCAAGTCCAGCTTATAAAACTTGGTTTAAGTGCTGGAACCACAGGCCAGCTTGTTCACTGAATGTACGACAGGTTGGGGACATTCACCTGCTCAAAAAAATTGATCATCATTTGCACTCAAAGCACGTTTTGTGTTTTCACCTGAATATGTGCAGCCTGTTGCCAGAAAGCATAATTCAGAGTAGGTTGGGGAACAGTCGCTGTTTGTAAAGCAAACACATGAACAGTACCACATGCTTATGGAGCTTAGCAAAACACTGTCTAATCTAGTTCAGATAGTATTTCAAGCCTTCAACTTTATTCATCACTGGATGAAGTAACAGCTAGGTTGAACTTTCTAAATTCTTGTTTTCTTTGTCAATACCTCAAAAGCATAGCGAGTTTGCAGAGTTTGAAGATGCGACATTTGAATTGCTGAGCAGTGATTTTATTTATACAGAGACAGCATTGCCGCCTTTACTAGCAATAAGCGACTTAAAAAAAGAAAAGTGCTGCTTCTTTTAAAATTCTATTTTTTAATAATAAATTTTATATGTAATCATTTTTGTTTTTAAAGGGACACTAAAGGCAAATATTCAGGCAACATTGATTGTGGAAATAGTGGTCTAGAAACCTTGTAGTGTTACTTTTCTACCAAGCAAGTGCTTATTTTGAAATAAAATCACATTTTAGCGGTCCTTAGTGCGTTATCGCACTTGAAATCAACTGTGGGAAAGCGGTCTTTCTGATGTAACTGTAGCCGTGTCCAATGTTGCCCTCCTTTACTGTGCAGTCGCCGACACTAGTAGTAGAAAGTGAAAGTAGCGGAAGCTACAGCAGCAACAACAGCCATTGAACAATTTTCTGCTTGCTTAGTTCAGTAAGGCCCCCTTTGATGGCACTTCCTATGCAGCCTAACAAGGCAAAAACTTGACTGTTGAACCACTCATGCCACTATCCATAGTAATACTAGGTGGCCCTTTTTTCTATAAATGAAACAGAAATGAACAACGAGTAGCCTTTTATTATGTCTCCTGATGCATGAAAAGTGCTTTTTTTACTGCATTTGGTCTGATTACCAGTGATTACTTGTAGTCGGACGCTCTCACGTCATCGGGACCATTGCCGAAATGTCCCACTCGGGGCGCACATCGTCTGATACATGTAGCTTAATTTCTCGGTAAGTAGGCCACTGCTGTTGATAACAGTATTGCTCTTTTAGACGTTTTCATACATTGAGCTTTCGCTTTGACATAAATTGTTATCTGCATTTAGTGTCCTTTTAAGCACTTGGGACAAGTGTGGCTAGAATGCCAATTTATTGTGGTAATGGCAACTCAGTTGCATAAGGCCACGTTTCAGCTGCAATAGAGAATCATGATAAGAAAAAAATGATGTTAGAAAATGTGGCCCTTTGTTCCATTGCTCAAATGTCTAAACAACTATTGAAATTCTTCAAGGCAAATGGAGTGCCTTCTTGAAAAGCTGCTGAAGAGTGCCCGTGGTATTCAACTTTTTCCTTTGGCTCTTGGCTGCGTGTTGAGAAGTAGCACCGTTTCTCTTGCATTACAAACAACCAACACACGTTCAGTGTTGCTGATGGTAAACAGTGCTTGTGTAAAGTGTACATGAACTACAGGCAAACCTACGAAGCAAGTTCCTTTTTTTGCGTCTGTGAGTGTTGTTGTCCTCTGTATAGCTGATGAACATAAGGAAATCTCGAGTTATCTCAGTCTATTTTGTTTAGTTGTCTTTGCTCATTTGTGTTGTGAGTTGAGCTTTACGCGCAATCTTCTGCACTTTGCACTCAAAGTTGTAAATTTTTTGAACTTATTAAGAGACACTAAAGGCAACCAATATAAGGTGTCAAGTTGCCCATCTCAAAGCATGTTCATTTATTCATGACTATGAGAAAGTTCAGGGCATAGCACATTTAGGCAGTAGTCCAGGTGCTCATGGTTTATGTGACGTCACTTCCACGTTTTTGGTCATGTGCCTGCGCAGAGTGGGCACACGGCGGGCTGATCTAACATTGCAGCGTAAAGGTGTAGATAGCATCATTGAGTGCCTTTGAATGAAGCTGAAAAATTTTAATGCTCGAGTTGTGGCAGCAAAAACTTAGAAGCAGAAAGAGCAAATAGAAAACACATAACAAACTGTTTATCTAAACTAACTTGCATCCTACAAGCATTGAAGTGCCGCTGTAAAAAAAAATGTGTCTCACTTATCGCAATTTATTAAACTTTTTAGTAACTTTGTATGGGAATGACTTTTTTGTACTGTCCTTTGACTTTTTGACGACTCCGCAGACACTGGCTGCTGACTTCATTGTGACCGTGCGACAGGGTTCCTGAAGCGTGGCGTGAATAACTGTTGTAAAAGGATGGTTTGCTGATCTGGTTGGTAATCTGTTTTACCTCGCAGCTAATGGCGTGTCACAGACAGTGCCAACACAAAAAAAAAGTGAAGCACTGCGTATGTGCTCTTTTTCTTTCCGCCCCGCATCTTCACTTAGACGAACCTGCTTTGTCGTGCTTTAACCCGCAAGATTACGGCCATGCAGGGTTTTTTGACGATAATGGCAGCCGAAGAATCATGAATGTGACATTCCAAAAGCTCTACTTTCCACTTTTTTTCCCTAAAACTCGGGGGACCAGGACAGGTCGTTGTGAGAAGGACGTCATTGCTTGATTTTTTTCTTTGTATCGTTTGGGAAGCTTGTTTAATTTAATTTTTTATTATTCAATGATACTGCCATTCCCACAGCAGATTTTAGCAGGGTGTAAATAACATTTTATGGTAGAAACGCAGGCAACAAAACAAAACAGGGTACTTGGACTCTTAACAACAGGGTACTTGGACTCTTTCCTTGTCGCTCCGCGTTGCGGAGCGACAAGGAAAATATACTGGAGAACGATGGGACACAGCTTTGCGCAGTACTACATCAGACAGACAATCATGGGCAGTCCAACGGGCCCGCGAAGTGGCTGAAAGGCTAGGACTTTCGGTCCCAACGTGGGAGAGGCCCACTTCGGGCTAGGACACTAGCATGACCTATTGAACCTTAATAAAGTTCGTTCGTCCGTCCATCTGAGCGAGTATGGTAGAGGAAACTTTTATTGAGTATAAGTACCTGTGAGTCCGGTTGAGTAAAGTGTTGATGAGTCCGTGTGAGCCCTAAACGAAACGTATATAGCTCAAGTCAGCTCTCGTCTTTTATTGCCGACATATAAGTACATTTCGGTAAAGCTTGATTGTATTGTGTCCTAAGAGGGGCCTCGGCCTCAGGAGCAGCACCAGGATTTCTTCACCAGGGGGGAAGGCACCCTCTACAAGGGAGTTCATCCAGGGGGGCAGGAAGGCAGGTGCATGCATTCTCTTTTAACCATGTTTGCCCTTGGCTTCCGGAGCAAGGGGGGGGGGGGGGGGGCACTCTTGGAGTGTCCCATTTGCGACACAGTGCACAATTCAAGTACCCTGAACAACAAAATACAGGTCCAATTCACCACGTGCGAGCTGGCTGCCGAAGCGTCGCCCACTGGCAGTCGTAGACAGTGTCATCTGCTAAGATAACTAAACCATATTGCTTTAGTACTTTGCGTGCAAGTTGAAAAGGAAGAGAAGGAAGGTTAAAAAGAAAATGTCTACTATGTATCGGTATAAATTAATTATATTTTTTTTGTTGGCAGAATTGTAATTTATTAGAACAAATTGAAACACTGCCTCTGTGAATTATTTGCATAACATCGCACTGCTGAGCTCAACGACGCAGGTTCGATCACAGCCACAGTGGCCACATTTCGATGTCGGCGAAACGGAAAGACACACGTGTGCTTAAATTTATATTTTATGTTTAGGGAAAGGTGGAAGCTCGAAAATACGAAAAATTTGTGAAAACGAAGTTTTGGAGCAAATGTCTCGATAAGCAGTCTTGTCTTCTGAGAGGCTACATTGGCATTTGCCTTAACCCCTGGAAGCCAGAATCAATCTAAATTTGCCCATTACTGTATGACTCATAAATGTATCATAGATTAAAATGTGAGTCATCAGAAATTATTAATTACATTACAAAATAAACACCACCGTAGTGAGGGGCACTAACAGGCTTTCTGATATTCAGTTGTGTCTTATGAGACAGTAAACAACCTATGCTCAGGACTGTTTTGTCTTGATTAAGTATGCTTACATCACAGAAAATTAGAAAAATTACAAGTTGATGCACCAAAGCTCATAAGTGTGTGCCCAATAGTGATATGCACATGTGTTCAATGGGCTCCTTCCCATTCATAAATGAATAGTAAGGGTTATGAGCAATTCTTACAGCACAGCTTTACCAAGTAATTGATAGTTGTGGTGAGCAAGGTTGTGTTCATTGGATGTGCTAGTGTTTGTTTTTATATATAGCATAGAAACATCCCAGATTTGTTTATGTGCACCTTATTTTGTTTAATTAAGGGGAGATGAGAAACAAGTTTTTTT